TGTGTGGGTGTGTGTGGGGGTGTGTGTGTGTGTGGGTGTGTGTGTGTGGGTGTGTGTGTGTGTGTGTGGGTGTGTGTGTGGGTGGGTGTGGGTGTGTGTGTGTGTGTGTTTGTGTTTGTGTTTGTGTGTGTGTGTGAGGGGCCTGTCTGGACAGCAACAAATTCTCCTGCAGTGTATGCGACGGGCTCCGGACGACCCCGAGAAAAGCGTACCGCCAGGCCAAAGACACTGGCCAAACTGTGGCGAGTGCTTGTATTTCAGAAAATGTACCTGTGCTCTACCAAATACCACAGGTTCCCCACCCCTAAAGGCCCTAAACCGTAACCCCTGATGCTAAAGCTGCCTGACAGGTGCTGCGTCGATGCTGCAACAGGTATCCCCCGCTGGAAATTGCGCGCTTTGAATGTTAATCCCAACCTGCCAATCCGAGAAACACGCCGGAAGGCCTCAGGCCCTGCAGGAAGGTCGGGAGGCCCTTCAACGGTCCCGATCCCATGCGAATCAGCGTCATGTGGGTTTGGTGAGCCTTGTAGGTGTCCCCATTGTGCTGTGTGTTGCCCCAGTGGTACGGGTGTGACAGGGCTTATGTAAAGCCACTTGTAGAGTGGAAGACCTCGAGGTGGCTGGCGTGTGGAGCCGTCAGCCAATGGCGGCGGCGAGCAACAAGACGCCGAGCTGGTCAGGTTTTCAGGATTGTAGGTATGGTGTGCTGAAAAGGAAGCAAGTTTAAAGTCCGGCAACTGGCCTGCCAAGGAGGGTTCAGTTTGGAGATCGCGTGATCCAGATTGGCCAGTGGCGGTTGGGTGACGTGGATGGGAATCATTTCAGCATCTCCCATTCAAGCTTGAAGACCCTGGTTATCTATCGATCCAACAGCGCCAATGATCCACATCCCGTGCATGAGGGGGCTCGCCCGGAGTGGGGTATGTGGGGGGGTGTGGCGTCCCGGAATCCCCCGATGGATCAATCCATGGGAGTCAGCTTTGGTGACCGCTTCATCCAGATTGGTAATTTCCGGCTCGGGGACGTGGATGGCAAGCACTTCTCCGTGGCACACGCTGGGACCGGCAAGACCCTCATGGTCTTCCAGAGCGACGGTCACCACGGACATCACCATTGCCCTCGCGATGATTTCACCACCTTGGGCCGACGGATGGAGCAGTGCCAGGCGGGGGTTGGGGGGCTTTAGGAGGGCAGGGAGGGAGAGCTTTGGGAGCATGGCCCGATTCAGGTGATGGAGCCGTGAAAGGCCTGAGCTGCGGCAGTGGACGGTAGGTGTTCATTTTCCTATGTTGCAGCTCGCACGACTTCTAGTGATTCTCGTGTCCTTCAGTCTTGCTACCTGATGCTTCGCAGGGTTGGACCCTTCAGGATTCTGCATCAGCGCGTGTAGTTTCAGCCGGTCGTCGCGTGTGGGTTGATCAGCTACCCCTGCGACATCACGTCGCTGCGGCCGTACGGCCGCAAGCGGCGGCTTTGCATTGAACGTGCGAAGGTGGCGAAAAGGGATATACTGCTTAAGCTACATATGACAACCGAGAGGGATGAGGACCGGCTCATGAGCAGCTCCTGTAGAGGCAACCAGGTCGAAGTCCCTGAGGCACCTAGACCAAGACCCTGGTAGAGCCCGCTGACCCTGGTAGAGCCCGCTTATGCCTCCACGTCGAAGCTCGTGTTTTAGCTGGAGCCTTGGTGCACCTTGGTACACAAGCAGTGCAAGAAGGTCAGAAATTGGTCATGGCTCCGTGTTGTCGTTTTCTCATCTGTAGTTCGCCATCCTCTGGCACTCACTGCACATGCTATCGCAAGCCAGTGTGTAAGTACATCGCAAACAACCTGTAGGTTCTGCAGGAGGGTGGAGGATTGCTGCCCCAAATATGTGTATGTCAGTTAAATGTTTGCACATTGTGAGTCGTTCCAGGTTTCGAGCTGCTCTTGTGCGCCAGGTGTGCTTCTTGGTGACTCTGAGACCAGAAGTTTTGCTGGCTGCTTCGCAGTAATAGTCTCTGTAATTTAGGGTTCCTTAAATGGATTCATAAGGGTCCCTTTTAGGGGTTCCTTAAAGGGATCTATAAGCCGATTCCATAGCCATTTTCACGACAAGTTCTCACTTGTCCCTGTTCCTCGACGTACTGAAGCAATACTCGCAATGAAGCAATCGGCGTGGCTTCCACTTTCATTGGCCGTGACGTGGTGATGGGCTTAGAAGTCTTTGGCAGGAGAGTTGTGTGAACTGTCCAGAGCTGCGCTGACTACCAGGATGCTTTGGACACCCGTCACGGCCGTGAAGTTCACGCAGGCAAGGCGCGGCAGTGCATGCCATGCACCCTCACGTACTGTACCGACTTCGCCGTCCGTTCCCGAGCTAAGGACGATCTCAGTTTGGAGAACGTCAACGAGTCACTTTCCAACGCTCTGGTCCTTCGCTCCTCGCGTGTGTCAGAGGAGAGCAATTTTTCCAATCAGGACCTGGACGCAGTTGTGTCCGCTAAGATCTTCCACGATATCGGCGATGGACTCGCCAAGGTTGGCAACACGCTGAAAGCGGTGGGCATGAAAGCCGGGGAGGCTGCCGGCAACGCTGCGATGGTGGCGTCTGGGCTCATACCACGGTCCAAAAGCTAAGGATCTTCAATAAGAAGGAGATCAAGTCATAGGAGCAATTGGGGCCCATCCTCAGGCTATGGGGTTTGGTGTCCTTTCTTTTCGGATGGTTGATCGCTTCCCTTTCGTCCTGCTTTCCTTTCGTCCGCGATCGCTGTTGCTCCGTAGGCTCCTGCGCAGTTTCTGATTGCACAAGCCACACTGGCTCGGCGACAACTCAGGTTGGGAACCATGTCATCGAAGCTGCCAAGGCCAAGTTGGACCTTTTGCCATTTGACGTCGAGCAACTGGCCAACCAGCTGGGCGGTATCGCGAAGGGCATGGCTAATGGCATCAAGGTGCTCGGGATGGTATCGACAGGTTACTTGAAAAGAGCAGTACAGAAACCCGAAAGTCTCTTGCCTCCCAAAGCTACCCCGAGCTGCGAACGCGAGGAGCCCATGGCATTGCTTTGTGCACTTCACAAGAAGAGACTACCATGCCCCTCGTTTATTTCGTGCCGAGACTGTATGCATCAAAAGCAGACACCAGGCCCTTCGGGGCCGCCCGAACAAGAAAGTATTCAAGACGCACGTAGACGCCGAAAAGCATTTTGCGACTGCGAGCGCGTCAAGCTGAACAACGTAGCAACGTTTACGGATGCAACATATGGTTGCTGAGAGAGACCTCGCTTTCGAAGCCCCGATTCATATGGTGGCCCAGTGGCTTTGGGCAGGGATAGTAGTCGTGTTCCTCACAGCGCTTCGGTTCGAAATTGTGGCAGAACATGCTTCAAAACCTGTTCGCATTATTCATGCCCCTGTACAAGTACAGGACTTCGGGAAGACGCTTGAGAAGGGCGTCGTTAATCTGGCCGACGATGCCCTGAAGCATGCGCAGCACTTCGCCGAGCAAGGACAGCCTGAATTCGATGGAGCTTCACGAACGGATCTGAGCTTGCGACCCATAGCCGTTGAATGTGTGTATGTATATATCTATATATATATATATCTCTCTCTCTCTATCTATCCAGGGCAGGGACCTCAACAAGTAGAATGAGGTGTTGGGGTACAGTATTCAAAAGTTAGAGTGCGGGCTCTAAGGGTATATTATGCTGTATGCTTGCGCAAGTCAGCGAAGGGGACTCACCCAAGCCTGGTAAGGCGTTTGTCAAGTGTCGCTGTCACAGGACAATGCCAGCTGCATAATTGGACCTGGCATGAACCGACACTTTCGCACAAGACCTGTGCGCAATCTTGTTTCAGAGAGCCGGAGTAAACTTCCAGTTGCAACTTCTACCTCATACAGAACCCCCTTAAGAGGTCCTTCTCTCAGCTCCGCCTTTTCAGCCCTAAGCCCTCCGCGCAAGAGGAGTAACGCTGGCTACCCGAGTCGGCGATAAGATTGCCATGGAAGTCGCCAGCAAAGCCCGGTGGCTGGGAGGCACCGGAGGGTTTAGGGTTTAGGGTGTAGGGTTCAGGCTGTGTCGATTGACGAGCCTCAGCTTAACTCACGCCTGCAAACTAAACCCGAAGCCACCGAAAAACCCATAAAGCCTACCTGTAGCCGGAAAGACCTACCGTTTGAGGGTTCCTTATTATGGTTCCTACATATATAGTTCCTTAAAATTGTAGTTCTTTTCGGTTACAGGTAAAAACCTACCATAATGCTGCCTCAAGCAAGCCCTTCTCCTTCAGACAAAGTGAAGACGCTGGGTCCCCTGGTCGCTGGATTGGCATCCGCAGCCTGGGAGCGGCACAGTTGAAGATGCGTTTTAGGGATTCAAGGCTCTAGAGGTTTAAGGCTTTAGGGTTTTAGGGTTTTGGGGTTTTGGGTTTAGGGTTTAGGAGGGTTTGGGGTTAGGGATTAGGAGAGGGTTTAGGATTTCGGGTTTGGGGTTTGAGGGTCTGGGGTTTTCGAGCTTTGCGGGCGGGATTGGCATCAAGTTGAGGGTTCGTATCCCTGAAGCTTGAGCCCTGTAGGAGGGTATCCCTTGAAGACGGGTCATTTTTGTGGACGGGGGTTTATGGAATCCAACTCCGAATTCGGAAGGTATGATGCCAAGATTGAATGAAGCAGTGCCAGAACTCAGAGTTTGTAGTGCTCGGATGTGTTTTCGATACAAGTGTTGGTCATCCCTCAGAGAGTCCTCGCATTCTTGGATTCGAAGACCGGGGCATCAGCAATAAGTCGCATAAATTGATTCAAAGGGAGGCAGTTCCGCTAAGCTGCCTGAGCGTGTCGGGGAGATGCCACGTCGGTTCAATCGCAGTGACGTACACGCAGTCTTGCCACCCTCGTGAAGCAAGAACTCAGAGCGAATCATGAAGAGTCGCTGAAGCTTCTTCAATCATTTAAGTGCTTAAAGGCAAATCAAGAAGTTCGTGAACTGCCTGGACGACAACGGCCTGATGTGTCCGATCCTGATTGGCGACAGGTGCGATTGCCCTTCCGGAAGCTCCGTTCGGTTCGAGAACGGGGGATTGAACTTGAGGTGCGTCATTGGCAAGTCTGCGGGATTTGGCATGGGCTACGGCTTCAAGGCCAAATCTGGAGGGAAGTTCGGCGGAAAGAAAGCCGGCAAGCTGCAGCTTCCCGGTCAGATCTTCGAGGAGAAGAAAGCGGAGGCCAAGCAATCTTTCAAAAAGAAGAAAGGTGGCTTGAAGAACAAGATGTCGGGAGCTCCCACCGGATCTTGCGAGACAAGTATCGACATGGCCATCGAGGGGCATGTGCAGAATGCTTTGATCATTGGCATGCACACCAATGGCCCCTTCACGACCATCGACATCTCAGGAGGCGTCGGTGTCTCCCTGGACGGAATGATCAAAGCCCAAGGCAGCTGCACATTGACGGCCGAGAAGCGCTTTCCGAAAGTACCCAAGAAGAAGGTGATCTGCTACAAGGCCTTAGGGGACCATAATATATACTACCCTATAAAGAGTAGGATCCTTATTATAAGGACCCCCCCAAAAATAGGGTACCCCTAATGTTTCGGAAGGCCTTCTGCATCGTCCTCTTTCTCCAGATGGTCGCCCAGCTCGAGATCACGGGTGCCCTTACTGGGACCCTGGAGTTGGGGGCCGAGGTTGGCTTCGACATCGAGGGTAAGATCACGGTGGACAAGGCCACGGGCGAGGCCACTGCGGAGTTCAAGGCCCCATCCGTCGACCGCCAGGCGAGGCGGGTGGGGGGAGAAATGCAGAAGCCAAGCCTTACCACACTGCCTCTACTAAGTCGCCGCGGGCCTCTCTAGGTTTGTGCTCCGGGCAGAGTGGACATGTCTGCACATCGGTTTGACCAAAGGCGGCTTTTGCTATGGGCGCCAGTGCCTTTGCCTCCATTCGCTTGGGCGCAGGACCCTTCATCGTGGCAGCTCGGATGAGTTTCGATGCATGCAACAGTTTTGGACGCCCGTAGGTCGATCTGCTGCACGAGCTGCAGTAGATCTCTTAGGTCTATCCGGTCCCGGGCGTGCCCGTGAACTTCAATCCAATGGTCAATTTGGAAGTCAGGGCGCAAGGCGACATCAAGTTTGGACCTGTCGGCGTCGCCCTGATCCAGGACTCTAGCATTTATGTCGTTCTTCATCAACAGCGCTAGTACTGGTAGCATGCATGCAATCTTTGCTATCCACACGTTCGATGGGTTCACCACATGGTCTGGTAGATGCAGTCAGCAAGGATCCATGTTGACGACCGAGTAACAGTTACCAACAGAGGATCACGATGCGGAACGTACGTGTAGTGCATGAGTGGAATGATGCTTGAACATATTCCACCTTCCACTGTCCTTAGCGGCCGGTGTTCTTTGCGCTCAAACTTTGATTACCGCTTTGAGTCGTATCTTCGATACCGCCATAAATTCCCCGATCGCCTGACCTTCCGAATTAAAAGCGGCAGAAGAGAGATTACCCGCTCTGGTCGTCGTATCGGGTTTTTGGCTTTGGGCCCTGCAGAAGTTTCCGGTGCAAACTTCATCATAGTACAATCCAGCCCCTAATCAAGCAGTTCAGGTTGCGGCAACCATTCACAGCGAGGATGAGGTACGCCGTCGCAAGCTTTAGAAAATGCGCCAGAAGTCTCAACCCCTGCAACCCCTCAGCTTCCAGAGCTCAGCTTCGAGAAATCCTTCGCATACTTCCGATCCCCAGAGCGGGCCACTGCCGAAAATCCCGGCTTCGAAGGAACAGAAGCTGTCCCCTGCTCCGTGACAACCGAACTGCATAGTTTAAGCAGAACATGTAGAGCATGCACCGAAGTCAATGATGGTTCACTGCTCATTGCACGCACACGCGCTGCGCATCCACCTCAAGCATAAATTATTTCGACGGCCTTGGCTTGGATGCTTGCTCGCCCCAAAAAGGGGTGGCGTTATGCGCTTTGGGGGGCCCTTTGTGCACCGGCATTTGGCTGACAACAATCTGAATCCTCCGCCCAAACTCGAGGCGGTGTGTTTGCGCTTAGGCAATCGTCAGGCGCTGGCATAGCTAAAAACAACCAATGATTAATATCAGTATTAGTATTAGAGTAATAATAAAATATTAGTATTAGTACCAGTAATATGTTAGTATTGAGTCACCAGAGCCAGTGACTAAACCCACGCTTTCGGAGGAGCCCGACCTGGAGTCGACAAACAGCAGCGTCAGCATGCTGGAGGGGAGTGAAGCCGACGAGGACCCGCTGGAGACGAGTGGCAGAGGAGTTCATGTTGTAACATGTGTATGGAAAGGAAGCGATGCTCATGGCTCTCCCTCCATAGACAGGCCCTGCCCCTAGCGCCACATCGGCCCACAGACGCACCTCACAAGGCCAAGTATATGTTGCCTAAATCCACTCGATTTGACATGGCATGTTAGTTTCTTTCGAACTATATAACCTTACCATATCATTGTATATAATATATATATAGAGAGAGAGAGGTATTTGAATGAATATATATATATATACATACATACATACATACATACATACATATTACGGTATTCTGCTATAGAACAGCATGGCAACCCTCTGTGCCCGCAGGATGCGGTTTCGACAAGCATCAGCTCCGGCTCCCCCAAAATGCTGAAGATGTGCGCCGCTGCAGTCTCCACCTCAGTACATCTAATGTGGAAGCCGAAATTCGATTAGGGTTTAGGGGTTTAGGGTTTAGGATAATACCGTCAAGGAGCCCAAAACCTCAATCGAATTATCAAAACTCACGGCCCGTATATTATGTTTTGCTTTTTCGTCCTGTTGCAAACCTCAGACAAGCAAGTAGATATGTCAGCACGGATGTTCGTCGGAAGCTCTGCGTCACAGGTTTTTTTGTTGGTTGTCACGACCTGTTGGCTACTGTTGATGATCTAAATCCTGCATGACCTTAAGGCTCCTAAACTCTGGGAATTATGGTCTATTCCTTAATTATGGGTAATGCAGGATTTATATCATCATCCGTATTTTGGAGGGTCCTTTCTTATAGTGATTGTATAATGGACCCCCCAAAACCCTACCCTAAACCCTAAACCCTAAACCCTAAACCGACCCTATTCTAATTATTAAGACCCCTTACAGATCTCAGTTGCCCCAGGTTGCGCCGTCGGGGCTTCGAGGCTTGAGACAAAGGCAGAGACATGTGAGTAGTTCTCTAGGCTAGGGTGCGTTTTCTGGGTTCTGGAGTACCATACTTGAATACGTTTTTTTTTGGACCTGTTCCTTAAAGGAACAATTATAAAATAAAAGTCTATACTTTTTCTCCCTGGTTACTTTAAAATCCAGTTTTAGGTTCAAAAAACAGTGCGGCACGCTTATAGGACGACCCTAAAAGGGACCGGTATTTAGAGAAGTACGCATGTGGCTTGCTGAAGGCCTAAATGGGCCTAACTCCTGCCTACACTAAAGGCCTAAACCTGAATCCCTGAAGCCATATCATTACATTCTACTGAGGCCGAAGCCCGACAAATAAAACCCTAATCAAGAAGCTCAAGCCGCATGGGGTGTAGTTTTCCTGATGAGCTTCTGGCCCCATCCCCCCGATCCCGGCATTTTTCTGCCCGCCAGACGAACTAGTAGCCTGATTCCTTGCTTGGTGAGAAGAGTGAAGAGAGCAGAGCTATATACCAATACCAGAAACTGAGGCTACTGCAGTGGGAGAGGTAACTCTCAAACTAGGTCCCAAGCCAACGCGCATGTGTCGTCGAAAAAGGTACAGCAACACCGAGACCAACGACCTTTGGGCAGCCCTGGTCTTAGCACATCAAGGAAGCCAGATGCTCTTAATATTTAATCTTCGGCCTGTCTTTGCGCCTCTTTCGTCCCTAAACCCTTTTTCCTTAAACCCTGAACCCCTAAACCCTGAACCATCTTTGGCTTCGAAGAGGATGACAAAAGGCATGCAGTGGACCAGGGTGTGCTGTTGAGTGCTTAAGGTTTACAGAGTTTAAGGGTTTAGGGCCTTAGGGGTGTGCAGTGTAGGGTTTGGGGGTTTAGCGTTTAGGGGTTTGGGGTTTAGGTCTTGAGGGTTTTAGGGGGTTTTGGTTCAGGGTTTTGGGTTTAGGGGTATAGGTCTTGGCGCATGTGAAAGCACCTTCTGCGCAGCAACGACCCTCAAGGCTAAGACGTTGCTAGAGTCCCCTAAACCCTAAACCCCTAAGCCCTAAACCCTAAACCCTAAACCTAAACCCTACACCCCTAAGCCCTAAACCCCTAGACCCGAAACCCTACACCCTAAACCTGAAACCCTAAACTAAAGTGAGGCCTGGAGCGAGGCGAGTGGCCAGCCGGTTAACTCGCATCTCGGCGGCTTAGGGATTTCGGTTCAGGGTTTACGGCTTAGAGTTTAGGGTTTTAGGGTTTACGGTTTACGGTTTACGGTTTAGGGTTTTAGGGTTTTGGGTTTTGGGTTTTGGGTTTTAGTGTTTAGGGTTTAGCAAGGATTAGGGTTTAGGGTTTAAGGGTTTAGGGGTTAGGGATTCCACTACAAACGCTATAACTAGGTGGCACAATTTGGGAAACTTTAATATTGCCTGTATGGCTCCTTTAGAGGCACCTATTCATAAGTACCTTCCAGGCCCCAAAACTACAACTCTAAGGGTTCAGTTGCAGGGTCGCACGACTTGGTAAGTAAGTAATAAACAGAGTTGTAAGTACCTTTTAAGATGGGTTGTGATACTTACATCTCTCCCTAAACCCTAAACCCAAAAACCCATAAACCCTAAACCCAAAGCCCATAAACCCTAAACCCTAAACCCTAACTCTGTAAAACAACGACTTCCTAAGCCCCCCGATCCTCCTTTAAGTAGGGTTTAGGGTTTAGGGTGGCTTGTATAAGTCCCGAAGGGTCCTAAGTACTGTTATGGGGAATACATCCCTAAATCATAATAGCAATTCCTAACATAGAAACCCTACATTCTACCATATAGGTACTTAGGACCCTTTGGGAGTTATCCTGTACCTCCTCAAGGGTTCTGCTGTAAGGGGTTCTACTAGAATAGTGTGACAGGGTTCTACGAGAAGGCTTCTGCTATAAGGTTTTTTTTACCATAATACTTCAATGGATACGGCGTCCCTAAAACCCAGACCTGCTATAAGAGCAGTATCTGGATTTTGGAGGGGTGGCGGCTTGGGGTTTTCCAATTACAAGCTCGGCGTTTGGGGTTGGGGCCTTTGGCTGAGAGTGTAGGGCTGGTGCATTCTGTGCTGTGCTATCGTACGTATAACTGTGTATATATATATATGTATGTATATAGGTACATGTTACACATATACATATACATATACATATACATATACATATACATATACATACATACATACATACATACATATATATACACACAATATATTGTATGTATGTATGTATGTATGTAGGTAGGTAGGTAGGTAGGTAGGTAGGTAGGTAGGTAGGTGGGTAGGTAGGTAGGTAGGTAGGTATGTAGGTATGTATGTAGGTATGTATGTAGGTATGTATGTATGTATGTATGTATGTCTATATATATACATATCTATGTATCTATGTATATATATACACATGTATATACAGAGGTATTTATTCATATACATGTACGCGTGTATCTACACAGAGTTGCTGCAATCTTGACAGATGCGTGTGGGCTTGGGGAGGGGGCTCGCAGGGCCTTGAGGTGTGAAGGCATTTGAGTTTCCCAGAGAACCCCATACCCCATTAAGGAATATACTTGACATCCTAATAATATTCAGGCCCCTATCATTTAAGGTATCTTCCTTAATTAAGGGGTCTTAGGTTCTCTGGGTTCGCGCCTTTGTAGGTAGATTTTCCGGGCTCGCGAGCCTGGCATTCGATGGGCAGTGTTGGCTCATGGCTTACCATTATGACCCATTATGACTACTTCATAGCCATACCATAATGCCATGCCCCCGCTGCCCCCCACCCCAACCCCCTTTCTAGTTATCCAGAACCCTAAACCCTAAGCCCTAAGTTTAGTTGGCCACAGTCGACCTCGCGAAGACTCCATTCCTTCTGGTGAAGTGGTTGATGATGAGCCACCCCCAGACTGGGGTTGAACCTTTCACTTCGTTCTCGAGGCATGCCTTGTTGTGATCGGAATGACTGTCGTGTATGTGTCCGCCGCGTCTCTGCTCGGCTTTGTCTACCTGTCTGAGTGGCTGTAACAGTCGGGTGTACATCCTTTGAGGATGAGCCTTGGATCTCGGCGGAGCGAAAGGGCTATTGCACTGTTAAAAAAAAAAACCTAAACCAGTGCAGCCTCGATTTCGAGCGTTGGGTTCAGCTGAGGCTCATGGCCTCATGGACGGAGCAGATGGGCAGCTTGGTCACTGCGGGGGTTCCGGGCCGGATCGATCTTTAGGTTCAGGGTTTAGGGTTTAGGGTTTTAGGGGTTTAGGGTTAAGGGTTTAGGGTTTTAGGGTTTAGGGTTTAGGGTTGGGGTGTCTGTCTTAAGTGTTTTGCTGGGGCTCTGCCTGCCTCCTTTTTTATCAGGAGGGAGTGGTGAAGGTAGGCTTTGGGGGGTTGAAAGCTTGAAGTATTTAGGCTTGCCATTTTCAGGGTAAGCTTTCCAGAGAACCCAATACCCCTTAATTAAGGAATATACCCTAAATCATAATATTAAGGGCCTTACAATTTCAGGTATCTTCCTTAATTAAGGGGTATTCATAAGGGTTTGCAGCATCCAACTTTGGGCTTATGCGTCAAGCGACGACCCTAAGCATCATGTCGATTTCCGTGCATGTGCATCTGCTGAGTGGCAAGAGCACTTCTTTGGAAGTGGACCGGGATGCATCCGTTGAGTCATTGAAACACCGAGCCCAGAGTGCCTTGGCGGTCCCGCGCAGTGGGAGGCTACTGAATTCTTCTGGAGAAGTCCTCGATGGAGCACAAACTGTCACAGAAGCGAAGTTGAAGAGTGGAGACGTGCTCACCCTGCTTGTGAACCAAGTCCAGGTTAAATCCAGGAGGCCTTTCGGTAAACCCTCTGCGTTCGCTGCAATCCTGGGTGACGGATCTGTGGTCACCTGGGGTGATGCCGACTGTGGTGGTGACAGCAGTGCGGTACAGGATCAGCTGCGAGATGTGCAGCAGATCCAAGCTTCTTATAGGGCATTTGCTGCAATCCTGGGTGATGGATCTGTGCTCGCTTGGGGCCATGAAAATTATGGTGGCGACAGCAGCGGGGTACAGGATCAATTGCGCGATGTGC